CCCCGCCCCAAGAAAAAAAAAATTATGAAACATATGACTTAAAAAAGATTCAAACCTTTTAATTTCATATTGAATTATGTCATATTTTGACACCTTTAAACTTAAGTGATAACAGAGACGAGCTCAAACGTCATGAGTTATGTCATATTTTGACACCTTTAAGCTTTAAGTGATAAAAACAGGGACGTATTCAGACCACCTGAATTCGAATCTTAACAACCTCTGAGGACCAAGAGACAAAGAATTTATGTTTTTTAAATATCCTAGTTCTAACATGGATGATTTGTCTTTGATTATACCGAAAAAAAAATTAATAAAAATACATGTAAGTTGATCCAATTATTCCTGACAACTGAATAAAAAAAGAAGGAGGAATAGATTATACACACAAAGTTACTCGACGCAAGAGGCGGAAACCTTAAAAAAAGGTTAGATGTACGCTATATTATTGGGCGACATGCAAAAATACTCTCTCTGTGACTCGAAAACATCATTTTTGACATTTTTCTTCAACTTTTATACTATGAGAAACATTATAGTTGTTCATTATTGAAATTAGACCTTTGAAAAAGACCATGGTATAACAAATTGGTATTTAGGGTCGGTGCAAGAATATTTGAGACTGTAGACAAAAAATTTTGAGACCCTAAATTACTTATAGATGAATAATTTGATTTTTTTTTATTTTAAATATGTAAATTCATATCTTTTAGTCAGTATGTTTAAGGTTTAAAATAACTTACAAAACAAACACATTATGTGAATGATTAAATTAAGATCAAAATTATCACAATTAATTATAATTCAAGAAAATTAAATAGGCCAAAGTTGTAGAGAATTTAAATAAAATGAGACTAGAATGGTCTGCTTTTTGAATATACATATATTTATGGTTTAAAAAAAATATTTTTAAATTTTTTTATCGTTTGACGTAACATTTTAAATTTTTTTTATATTTTTTTAAAATCTAGTCAAATGATTTTAAGAGTCATATGCGAATAGGTCTCCAAACGAGTGGATGCCCTAGGCGTCGCCTTACTTGCCTAAGGGTGGAGCAGGCCCTATTAGTATCATTCTGGAAAATAGTTCAAGGCGTAGATCTTTTCTTATTTTCACCGTTTTTTTGTTTTGTTTTTAGTATATGAAATGGATAAGTGGAGAGACCATTCCATATCTACTAGGGATTATTGACCTTTAATATCACACAACTATTTACTAGAGACTCTACTGCAAGTCTGTACCTACATCGGAGCTGAAACTAAGGTCTCACCACGTATTCTGAATGTCGAAGAATAGGTTTAACACTCACCAAACTACCATAGTTATAGAAACTTGAACTCAAACATTGAACAAATAAATTCAAATTCTTATCCACTGAACTAACCATTTGATACTTCGTCGTATTTATATGGTGATACTAAACTGAAAGCAACAACATGCAGCCCCAAGCTTTTCCCTTGAAATATATTTTCAAAATTAGAAATCATTACCATTCATGAGGAGAGAATAAAACACAATTAATTTTGAAAATGACTGCAATTAGTTAGAAAATAAGCCTTTATTTAGAACTATGATGGATATATAATTCCATTCACTTGAGTTTTAAAACTTTTTGGAAAATAATTAATTACATCATTGTAAGTAACCTTCAAACCTTTCTTTAAATAGACTATTCATTTGATTTGACTTAGGTGCTTTTGTTTTGTCCTATATATATCTTCATATAAACCTCTCACTTTCGGATTTGGTTCCTTTTCAACAATTCCCCCCCCCCCCCCCCCCCCCCCCCC